TTCCAACCAAAATGATTCTATGATTCTATCATTCTACAATTCTAAGTGAAGTTAACCAGATGGCACATTTAGAAGAAATAAAGGAGGGTTTTTTTATCACACTCTCTGCCATAAGATACCATGAAAATGGCATGGATTCAGAAAGTGACTGGAGACATTATTAGAAAAAAAACAACTATCGGGGCTACGATGTAGAGAGATACCAGCTCTAGGTCAGGAAGTATCTGACCAGTCATTGGACGCTGGAAGGGTTATGGGGAAAAGTATCATTTCATATGGGCCTTGTTCCTTTATTATTTTCTAGGCATTTACTTTTGCCAGTTGGGAGGTACAAGTACTAGCTGGGTGTTTGGTCTGGCCCAGCGTGGATGGGATGTAACAACTGGCATTTACTTTAATGTTAATTTTCATTCTGATGTACTGGATTGTTGACTTTATGGGGTCATTTCACTCTCTGCAACGCATCTTGTCAGGCTGTGGAAAGACAGGGTCTGCTTTTGAAAAGCTTGCTTAGCAGCCAAAGAGAATGAAAATGCTCATTGATATTTAAATGGAAATACTTAGTTCCTAATGCTCAAAAGGCAACTTGTTCCGAAAAAAGCGTGCACCCTGCATCTTTGAACATAAAAGCACCTGCATTGGGTGAGAGCACTGGTCTGTCAAGCTTAGTTTTATGAATGTTAATAGCACAGGTTCATGCAGCACTAGAGTGTTTTTTCCTTTCCCTGGTAAAACTGACCGTTTTTTGCTGCCCCATTATTTAAACTGAATATTTAGCCATGTTGGGCCTTACCTTGTCACATGGTAACACAATTTCTTTGAAAGGCTTTGCTGAAAGACTCTGTGAAATATCTTTGGACAATCAAGTGGACTGCAAAAATATCTCTTTTCTGCCTGCTTCCAAACTCCCTCCAAAAATGTCACCAAATGAGAGCGCCATGACTTCCCTTTACAGAAGTTGTTGATTGTTCTGCAGGAGGACCAGTTTATCCCTGTGTTTGTTCCTTGTGTTCTCCAGAATTGTTTCTTCTGACTTGCATGGTGAAGGTGTCAGGGTCACTGCTCTGGAGTTTCTTATATCTCCTTTGGACTTCTTTTTAAGACTCAGCATCATGTTTCCCATCTTCTTCCCCTCCATAGGCAGGTTTAAGTCAAGGCTTGTACCTCACGTTAGTAGTCCAGCTGTTTCAGGCTGGAGCTCCAAGCTCTTGGGCCAATGTTTTCTTGTCCTGTGGCATTGTTAGAATTCGTAGAATCTTCTTTAATCTCTAACCATGCAGCTAAGCATTTCCTTCCCTTCAAAGGAAGGACAGATCCTGAGAGGGGCAGTCTTAGGGAGGCTGTCACTGGGGAAGGTTTGCTGTAGGGAGCGGAGTGCCTTCCTGCAGAACGGAGGAAGAATTAGCCCGGCAGAATTTTTTGTCTGTGTTGCACTCCTGGATATAGTGTCACTGGAGAGGCTGATCTGACAAGGTTTTCAAGTGCTTGAAACATTGAAAGGGACTTACATGGATCACTTGTCTTCTTTGAGTGTTGTTACAGTCTTATAGGATCTCTAACCTTTTTAGCTATTGCCATGAAGAGTCTGAGTAGGAGTCATCTGAGACTTGAGATCAGCTGGTGTCGTTGATTAGGGGAGGAGGAATGGTGTAGGTCTCTATTTCTGATAAAGCAGGAGGACTCAGCATTGTTTGTTTGAGAATCTGTAACTATGCAGAAGGAGGAGAACTTTGTAATTTGTACAGAGAAGCGTGCAGAGGAGTTACATTTTGAAGAAGAAAAGCCACAGATGCTACAAGTCTCTGTACCACCACCGTCAGTGCCCTAGGTGGGAGAAGCACCCCTAGATGCAGCACTGAGATAGTTCCTCTTGAGATCTGAGCACTTCTGCTCTCAACAAGTTTCAACCATGGCTCTCAGGCAGTAAAAGCTATTCCTTTGGGATTCTGAAAGGTTTTTGTTGCCTGCATGAACGTGTCACATAGGTCACAGTGGAGCGCGGTAATGTTCCCCCAGAACTTCAGGAGAGGTACCCCTGGATGCAAACATGCTGCTGAATGTTTGAAGAGTGCAGCACTGCTGTAGTAAGTAGCTGAGTCACGGAACTGAGAAATCATTGCGGAAAACTAGGCTGGCTTAGTGACCAGTGTGTAATACTGCTGTGTACCCACACAGGGACCCTTCCTGTGGTGCCACCGGCAGAAGTGGCATAGGGAGGAGCTTCGTTATTGTGCAGCTTTGTAGAGCATTTAAATCTTTGCGACCTCTGACTCTGGCTACTGCATTACACTGAAGTTGGCTTTTCCCCTCCCTTCCTGCCAGCCCGAATCGCTGTGCGCAGTGTTTCAGCCTGGCTGAGCCAAGGGCAACCTGGCTGCTGTGCCTGACAGTGAGAGGGATGCACTTCATTACGCCTGTCTGTGCCGTGCCAAGGGCAAGGAGCATGTCTTGTACCAACAATGGTTAGAAGAATTTGTTTTTAAAACAAATTTTAAAAATTACATGCCTGCTTACAATGTTAGGCCTGAAAATTGTTGCTGACTCATAAAATACTTCTTGTACTGAAAGTAGCCAAGTTGAACATGTGTTTTGAGCTGTGACTTGATCAGATCAATACCAGCTTCATCGTGAGAAGCGTATTTTGAGATTCATCACTAGAAGCTTTGAAATCCTGTGCTGGCTTTTTAGGTTTTGTTAAAATCCAGTGAGCATTAACATTTACCTGCTGTATCCTGGGAAGTGCTTTAGAAATGATCTGTTCAGAAAGACATTTTTGTCGTGTTTGTTTTCTGACAGTTATGCTACCTCCTCCCCCAACATTTTTTGAAAATGCAACTTAAAAGTGTGGTAATGTTTGTAAAATCAGTGCTGTCAGTCTACTCTTTGTAAATCAGCAGATGAGAGTATCTGTGAATGTGTAGAATTCATAAGGAGATTCAACTACCAAAGATATAATTGCTGGCAAAATAAATGACAGAAGAAATTCAGGATCAGAATCTTTTTTTTAAGATCTACTTGAAAGCCATCCGCCTCTCTGAGGTTCAGATTTTATATCTGTATGGGATGTCACTGGCAGCAACACAGTACTGAGCCCTTACAAGTGACCCTTGGACAGCAGTCATTAAATAAATAAATACTATGCATGCATTGGGAGTCTTAATTTTTTTTTTTTTTCCTGTAAGGTGAATTTAGAGCCTCCCTCCTGTTTCCTGAGGACCAGGTGCCTATCTTGTAAATTGACACTGTCTGGACCCAGAAGTAGGACTCTGGTTATGTCCTAAGCAAGCTGAGTTTAGTCATGGAAATTGCAACTTTTGTTGTGTTCATTTTTTTCTCCAGTGTGATTATCCTGTTCTACCAATGTCTCTTCATCTGTTTGTATTTTCTTATTTTCTAGTATGGTTTCATCGTATTTGGTTCATCATGGGTACTGTTCAACAGCAACTGCCTTTGCCAGAGTCACAGACACCACAATCCAGGAAGAACAGACCTCAATAAAGAATAGACAAAGTAAGTCTCTTGGGTAGTCGTTCCCAAAGTGTGGCACGCCGGCCACGTGTTACCTTCAGGACTCTGTAGAGGAATAAAGTGGTGTGGAAGTAGAAAAGTTATTCCACGACAGTACGGAGAGGTCCACAGCACACTGCTGACTTAGTGTTGCTGCCTGTGGGTCAGTAGAACTTGGGGACCACTGCTGGGAGCACTCTTCCCATCGTCACTGTGTCCCCTCCACCCTCTGCCGTCTTTGGCTGAAGAACTGCCCTGTTCTTTCCTTTCCCTGTCTGCTCTGAGAAATGACCCGCATGCCTGCAGTGTTCAATATGCTGAGTTTTCTGATCAGCTTGGTTAATTTTCCTCAGCCTTGTTGAAAATGAATAGCTGAACCCTGGAAGAGATGAGGTGACTCTCAGTTCTGAGTCCTGCAGCTTCACACATCAGGCTAAATGTAATATCTGGGGCAGAAGGTGCTTTCTTGGAGGTAGTGCCAAATCGGTGGAGAAGAGAATGGTTACCTTGGACTTTACCTGAACAGAGGTCACAGTGCACAGAGATCCCTTTGGATTTGGGTTCTTCGATACAGTCTGTTGCAGCAGGGGCAGTTTCATTAGGATGATTATAAGGACCCAGAGACATCAATCCATTTTGACTACAGCTCCCAGAGTTAACGTGTCTTCCAGTCCTTTTGCACGTTTTGTCTTCAGGTAAATTTTGTGCATATTGAGGGTTTCACAAATTCACGACCAACACGTTTAGCTCACGCTAGGTGAAGAATTTGTATTCTGGGTCTGTTTTGGTCGCTGCAGACTCCTCCAAAGTGGCTCATCTCTCAGTTGGTAAGGCTGTAAGTGTTTTTGGTTCCTGTAGAATAAGGCTTGCAGCTTTCTCTTGCTGTACTTTTTTTTTTTTTTAGCTTTTCTATTCACACGCTCAGACTAGAGAGTCACAGAACGTTGATGTGTTTTCTGCATTCTCCTGGCTGTTGAATACAGACTACATCCCACTCTATACATTTCCCTTCCCTTTGTGAACCATTTCTCATGTGACTGTTACGCATCAGGAGCATCGTGCCCCTTTGTAGCTCACTCTCCATACATTACATGCGCTTAGCCAGCATTCAGGTTCATTTGGGGACTCTGCTTAGTACCCAAAATAACTTGTAGTTGCTGCCCGTTAGTGCTGATGGGCTTTGCGCTTTCCAGGTCATTCATTATGCAACCCTGACCCCAGCCAGTGTGCTTGCTGGTGTGGGTTTAATTGGTAAAGCCCTAAGGGAGGCACGCAAGACAGTGCAGGCTCGTTTGTCTGAGGACAGGTGACAAGGCAGATGGAGGAAAGGAATATAGAGCTCTGAAGTTGGGGCTTAAATAAAAGGTGTGAGGAAAACACAGATGAGAAAACAAAAAGAGGGGAAAATATAAAAGGCAATGACATCTGTGAGAGTTGCCAAACAAGGCAAAAAAGAGAGCTGTCAAAAGCAGTGAGACATGAAAATGGATGTGCAAGTAGAAGAAAGAGAATAAAATGAAGATGACCGTGCAACACACGTTGGTGTGAGCGCCACGTCTTTGGTTTTAGCTTTCAGCTACAATAACAAGCAAATAGATGCTGAGAAGTGGGAGCCAAGACAAATCATTGCAGATTGTTACTGGGGATTGCTAATGAGGATTACCAGACTGGGCTTTCAACTGCTCATAACTTGCAAAAGTCACAGCCTGTTGTTATTAGAGCCTCTGCTTGCGAAGCACCTCACACGCGGTTCAAAACCTTCTCTCTGTTGTTTGTAAGGAGTCCTGGAAAAACAGAGGGAAGTGCAATGCATTTTTAGTTTTAAGTACATTTAGTTTTTAGTTTTAAGTACACTTAGGAAAAAAAAAGTGGACCTCTGTGGATCAGCAGCTTCTCTGAGTGTTCAGGGATGGGACCTCAGGTTAAGTCTTGCACTTGTGTCTCCTAAACCCACTGAGGGGACATACATGAGCCATGCACACCTAGGAAAACAAGTGGCTTCTGCATTGTATTTTTGCACGTCCTAGAAGCGTACAACTCATTGAACTGTTTCTTTCTTAGCCAATAGCTGATTCTTGGAGCTAGCTTACAGGTGCCACGTCCTCATTGCAGGCCAAGCTCAGGTTACTTCTCTGGGAATACGCTGAGGTGCGACTTGCAAGGACCCAGTTTTGTTGGTATAATTACTTCTACTTAGAGGTAGGGATATTGGGGAAACAGTACTGTGCTGTGGTTTAAACCCACAGACTCTAAGAATACTCTGCTTACCTGACGCTCAGCCATACATAGGCTTCCAAGTGTGAACCAGGCAGAGGATGTAACGTGGGGTGACATAGGGGCTTCCCCTCTGAAACTTTCATTTCCCCAGCAGCCTCCTTGCTCTCATCCAGCTGTTATGTCCTGCTTTATTTTCCATTGCTGCATAGCTCTGAGACTAAAGGACTAAAGTCCCAGAGCACCCCACCACCCCCATTTCATCCTTCAGATCCTTCTAATTCTTGATATTTCTGAGCTACTAACAGATTCTGCCTTGTTTTCCCAGGCTTTTCCTTGCCTTAAACCATAATAAACAAAATGTGGTCCTCAGTTCTCCCTAGCCCTTGTGCAAGGTGGTAGTGAGGAGCTGTGTGGCATATGTGAGACAACTCTTCTGGCTGTTCTTGTTGGCCGGTCCTGTGTGTCAATAGGTCTCCTTTTGCTTTCAGGAATACAGAAGCTAGTATTAGCAGGCAGAGTGGGAGAGGCTATAGAAGCCACCCAGCAGCTCTATCCTGGCCTCCTAGAACATAACCCCAACCTGCTCTTCATGTTAAAGTAAGTATGAATAGCTTTATACTCCCTACTGCTGAAATGTGTAGATGAAGGAGAGAAGAAAGAGGCTGTCCAGCCATCCAGTCTGGCTGCACACCTTGGTCTGAATTCAAACTGTTTGAGATCCTTTTGGGAGCAGGTGGGAGAGGACATAGGTTCAGTTCTTTGCACAGTGCTTGCAGCAATGTAGACGTAGCCCTTTTGTTGCTGCTCTACTTGTCTTGTGGAGATCTTGCAACACCGAAGTACGTGGCCATCACTGTGGTGGTTCCTAGAAAGGCAGATGTATAGAAGAGGCTGTCTGGGTAGAAACTAAAGGAAAAAAGTGCTTATGTGTCCCCGTTGTCCCAGCTGTACAGAGTGGCTCTCCCCAGCCTCCTGAGACATATAAGGACAATTCCCAGTAGAGCTAAATGAGGAGCTGTCCTCACTGTCACTGTGGATATTGCATTTTTTACGTAGTATATCTAGTTTGATGGAGTATTGGGGGAATTATGATGCTTGGCAGATTTAGTATCTTCTCCCTGGAAAAAAAACAAGCCCACAGTTGAATTTTGGAATACCTGCAGAGATGGTGGAGATGAAAGCATGCTGTAAAGGAACAGTTTCTTCTTAGCACAATAGAAATAAACTTGCTTTTTGGGAATGCCTCAACATTCATTAGCATCAAAGTTGCAGTTTCTGAACTCCTTCTTCACATAGCATTGAGTACTTCCAGTACAAAGGTACCAGGAGTCTGAAATGTCTTTCAGAAAGCAAAGAAATTTAACTCCTATGGAGTTTCTAGGATTTATCCACTCAGTAACTAAGGAAACCTCAATGCAGAGCATCCTGGCTGTCACGCACCTTTTTCTCTTTCTTCCCTCCTATGAAATCAGGTGTCGGCAGTTTGTGGAGATGGTGAATGGGACAGACAGTGAAGTACGTTGTTTCAGTGCCCGCAGCCCCAGATCCCAGGACAGCTACCCCGGGTCCCCCAGCTTAAGTCCTAGACATGGATCAAGCAACTCACATGTTCATAGTACTGGTAAGTGTGTTTTCTGTGTCTCCTAGTGAGAAGAGCAAATGCCAAAGGTGGATATGCTTGTGCATTACATTACCTGCTACTTTCGATGCATTATTCTATGAAATGCTCCTTTCATTTCTGATATCCAGCTGAGAGGACATATTGTTATCATGGGTGTCTCTATACTGTTACACAATTGGTTTTGCATTAGTTATTTTCCACAGACAATAGTCTACAGAGCAGGTTTTTTCAGAATAAAGAAGCTTTTGAAGGTGCCCTTCTAGTGCAGCCACTAGTGTTTCACTGACCGAGCTGTGCTGTAAGAGGAGGTCTGGAAAACAAAGCCTGTTTCCTGTACCTTGGAGTCTGCAAAAGAATTGCTTTCCAGTAAGGACTGAGCAGAAGATGCATTGTTCTGGCCAACTGGGTGAAAGATTGGGGAGATGCCTTGCATGACAGCTTCTCCCTCCCCCATGGATTTCACCTTGCAAGCTGTAAACATGTGAGAAGGGAACAGTTCTGTACCTGCAAAACTCATCTCTTGACCATCAGTTCTTTGCAGTTTGGGAAATTAAGCTTTAGGATTTGAAGTGGAAAGAAGAAGATAAACCAGGACACCCAAGATGTCTTCCCTAGGTAATTATTGACTACAGCTTTGAAGATGGAGTGGGCCAGGGAGTGTGACCTGCGGAACCCCTGAAAACGGTCTGAGCTGTTTCACTGAGACTTGAGCTGCTCACAGCCATCTGAGTGCATTTTGTTTTGGTGTTCCCACTGCTGCATGTGACAAACTGTGGACAGGCAAACATTTAAGGGAAAGGAAGGCAGTTACTTGAATGCCTCCAAGCTGTCACTCATCTTCCCAAGCCAGTATCTTTCTTTTTCTATATTGTGTTGCGAGAAACCCTGGATATGTTTCTCTAATGAGATAGAATGATCCCATCAGTCTATAAAAGTTCTTGATAATACCTATTTTCAACCGGGAGATGCCTACATCTGCAACCTGCAACTCAAGGCAGTATTCATGTATATTTATCTCCATACATGGGACATCACCTTCCACAGTTCTCTCTGTCAGACCTTGTGCTTTCAAAATAGTGATAATTTCATCAGTGCGTGTTTCAAAGATGAAGCAGAACTGTTGTGCAGAGTCTACTGCGTCTTTGTCATTAAAATGCACAAAATGGCCCATCGTTTGAATCTTTGTGTTGTCGTGATAAAAATGTAAATTCCCTAGCTATAAATACAATTGTGGGATCAGCTGATGAATTTGGATATATCACCATCACTTCTGGAGGAACAGCCGTGCCAGGTCATATCATCTACCCAAGATCCTGTGGTCAATATTGGTTACCTAGGGAAGAATATATATGAAGAAGGCAAGCCCATAGTGAGGTTTTTCCAAAATACTAGTTGAGCCCCTAATGATTTGCAGTTGTCTTGGTATTAAATAGCCTCTGTAAGTTTAGCCAGTCATTTTTGAATCTGTATAAAACTTGTGGTGATAACCAAAGGTTTGTGTCCTGTGTCAGTGAGTTCCACAGCTTGATAGGCACCTTTTGTGGGGGAACGGATGAGATTTCAGGCCTGACTCTCCTTTCAGTGTGTCCATTCACCTGAATGAGGAAGATTAGCTTGTGATTTTTAAGAGGATTGCTGTTATTTGCTGAGTGTTGTATGAATCAAGTATATCCCTAGTGTAAGGTAGGTTGTGGAAAGTCTGGGAAGTTCTGCTTGCAAAGAGTTCTCCTTGTGGCCCAGTTTTCGCCTGTGCTTTCACAGTTTTCCTGGATAGAGGGTTTATGAGAAATATTTGGACTTGTGAGAAAAAACTTTGTAAACTTCTTTACAAACCATCCATGCTTCATATTTCAACACTAATGTCTGTACTTGTGTGAGCTGTTTCTGCCAATCTCTTATTTACAGCCCATTTTTAGAACTTCCTTGAGCTAAGATGTTGCTGGTGAGCAGTGGCATTCCTTCCATATTCATTTGTGTTTTCTGTAAAGCCCATTGAATTTAAGGAGGATGAATCATAATTTAAGATCTGCAGTCTCATTTTGCCTTCTTCCTTTGGGACCTGCTCTCTTGCTAAATTGTTGACTTCACAATAGAATGATGTTGTCAGTCTGGTCTCATTTTTCCCTTTCTTCTTGACTTTCAGGAGCAGATAGTCCAACCTGTAGCAATGGAGTCATGTCCACAAAAAGCAAACAGAGTCACAATAAATACTCAACACTGAGTTCATCATCTTCATCTTCTTCCTCCTCCTCTCCTTCATCTGTGAACTACTCCGAGTCCAATTCTACAGATTCTACCAAATCTCAGCAGCACAGTAGTACAAGTAACCAAGAAACCAGGTATTTTTTTTTCCCTTTGTAGATGCCTGTGGAGGGTGAGATGGTGGGAGAGGGCTCAGTCGGCTTTCTGAGGAACCAGAAGGGCATCTGCCTTGCTCTTTTGAACAACAGAGTAACTCTTCGTTATCTACAAGGTCACTACTATTCCCAGCAGACACAAGCCTGTTCCAGTTCCTCTGCTCTGACTCAGACTTGGAGGCTCATCTCATAAGGAATATTATGATGCTCTTGTTTCAAACAGTAGGCTGCCCCATTAACTGATGTCGTCAGAGCCCAACATGATAGTCTGCGTAGAAGCTCTCCCATTGAGCCTGTTTTTGTTACTGCTGCTTCAGCCAGTCGATACTGCTGCTAAGCAGCTTGCCTGCCCTTTAGTGGGCGAGGCAGCAGCTCAAGTGATTACTGGGTTGGTGCATTGCCCTCTTGAGTATTTTTCTGGGGCTACCTCTACCTGTTGCCCAGTTTCTTCCAGATGGGCCTCTGAATTAACAGTAATTTATTTCACATTTGTGCCAGGAGGTCAGACTTTTAGAAACCTCCCTTCTCCAAGAAGTCATAGGTGGTCCAGGAGAGTGGTATAGTTACTGCTGCATTTACAGGAGTGCGGAGCATATTGAGCTGTGGTGAGAACTGAGTTTCCTTTGGGCTCACTTTTCAGGTTGGTGTTGCAGGGCGCTCTGAGCCGTCTTGAAGTACTCATCCTCTGAGTACTGTGCTGAGCACAGTTTGCAGGACAGTTTGTAGTCTCTATCATGACGTCTTGAGAGCCACACAGCACATAACTGAGTGAGAAACACTTGTTCAGACTCAATTTACCAGAATGGTTTGATAATGCTGGATTTATGATTCTTTCTTTAAATGTAGTGCCTAAGTCCTCGCAAGATTTTCTGATCATTTCAGTTAATCAGCAGCCTCATTCAGACTGCTGTCTTGAACATTTAAGCTTAGAGCCTTTGTGTTCTGTGTTGCACTTTTTGCAAGGGTTGATGGCATACCATTGCCAAGATTTCCCTCCTCTTTAGTGTATTAGTGCCGTTCGCTGTCCCAGAGATGACTGCTTCCTAAAGGGAAAATGATAAGCACTCTGCACCTGTAATTATGACAGGCAGTTTTGGAACAGAAACCTGTTTCATAAGTTGTCTACAGAAGCCTGCAACAATTTTTGCTACACTGAATTAGACCTTCTGGCTCCCTGTAGTTCAACTGGTGCCTTTCCTGGTCTTCTGGCCATTGCTTCTTCATTTCTTCCCTTTCTAATATAGACATCTGACCTTTCTTTCCTCTTTCACCTCAGTGACAGCGAGATGGAAATGGAGGCTGAGCATTACTCCAACGGAGTCCTGGAAAATTCATCCACCAGGATAATGAATGGCACTTACAAACACGAAGAGATCCTGCAGACAGATGAATCCAGCATGGGTAGGGCCTCAGAGGCAGGAGGGGTAAAGGGAAACAGAGCTAGTATTGAAAGTTAAAATTGTGATTGGATTGTGGGGAAAAAACATGTACTTCGGGTTTCTTGCCCCACCCCAGTGAATGGAGTTTGCAAGATGCCTGTTTCACAGGGAGAATGAATCTGTCCTGGAACTAAAACTAGGTCTGGCTTTTCATAGTCTTGCAGCAGTGTTGGTGATGTTGTGGAGCAGGGAAAGCAACAGGAATCAAAGATTTGTTCAGCGCTGGTCATGAATTCCAGCTCAGAGCAGTCCTGACACTTCTGCCAGCTGAGGAACTGAACCGAGCTGTGAAAGGCTGGCTGATGCCCAGCCCCAAAGTGTCCTCAGCACAGTGTGGTCAGGCACAACTGTCTTGTTTGTGGATGCTTTAGCCAGGAGGGAGAGGATGAATCAGCTACACTACCTCTGAAACTGGGGATTCCTCCAGTTATAACGGGTCCTGTGGCCACCTAATACTGGGAAGTTGGTGATGTTAGCATCTCTGACTGAAAGTTTTCCGAGTCCAGGATTGGTTAGACCAGAGGTTTCCATGTTGTGTATGCTGTATTACACACATGAAAGGGTAAAGCAGCTGGATTTGCAAGCTCCCGTGATTTTATCAGAAGACTTGATTGGGAGGTAGTCTTCAGGCATTAAACAAACTGAGCTTAAGTTTTCCCTGTACCTAAGAGGTGCTGTGAAAAAAACACTACTGGCTGTTGGTAGTGCAGGGATCACAAAAAGCTTCCACTGGGATAAACTTAGAGCAGGGAGCAGCTACCTGCTCCAGAAGGGGAAGGATTTCATGGGTAGCGTGATCCAGAGTGGGCAGTGGTGAGGAATGAAAGATAATTGTTACTTCTCCACTGCCTTTCCTTTAGAAGACAGCTGCCCCCAGAGGCAGCTCTGTGGAGGGAACCATGCTGCCACAGAGAGAATGATCCAGTTTGGAAGGGAGCTGCAGATGCTGAGCGAGCAGCTTTGTAGAGAATATGGGAAGAACACAGTGCACAAAAAGATGCTTCAGGTAAGCCTGGACCTTGTTCTGCATCACAGCAGTTCTCTGGGCCAGGACTGGGGTTGTGGTTTCCCTTGCAGAGCTCTGGGTAGCCACCAGTTCTGCAGCTGGTGAGGAAAAGGGGGCCTGCATGGGGATCAGAGGTCGAAACTCAGTGAATGTAGAGTATCTAGACCCAATTCTCAGCACAGGAGAGAAGCAATATGGCTCCTGCCTGCCTTTCTGGAGCAACTGCATGGTCGTCTTCTCTCCAGGTGACACTCTACCTGCCTTCCTGTGCTGGCTCCCCTGCCAGGTGGAGGGGGCACCCTCTTTAATCCACTGTCTTGATAGCCCAGTGTAGTCCTTTGCTGCCAAGAAGAAAAGGGCCATTTCTTTTCAGGAGATAGGCACCCATCACCTTGGCGATGGCAGGAGGTGCCCCAGCTGATGGACCTGGCGGTTTTCCTGTGTGTTCACAGTCATGCATGACCTTACTGTGCCTTTCTGTTCTCTCACACAGGATGCATTTAGCTTGTTAGCTTACTCAGACCCTTGGAACTGCCCCGTTGGTCAACAGCTGGACCCAATCCAGAGGGAACCTGTGTGTGCTGCTCTTAATAGTGCTATATTGGGTAAGGCCTGGTTCCTATGTGAGCTCTACCCATAGGACACACCTGCTCCCAAGGGCTGTCCTGTGGCAGGCAAGCCTGTGAGTGTTAGGAAAAGTTCAGAAATACTTGTGTTTAGCTTTTGCCTCTCTTTCTGTTGCTGGGGACTGACAGGGTAGTGATGCAGGAAGGGAGGTGGGAGGGGAGCCTGCAGAGAATGGATCCTCCTGAGCTAATCTTCTCTTGCCTTCCTTCCTTGGGTCTTCCTCAATGCTGCTTCCAAGGATGCTCCTTAGGATTTTCCTCCCCTGCTTACTGAAGAAGCCGAGATCTCTTTGATGCATTTCCTGCCCCTCTTCCTTCTTGCTCTGAACACCCCTGAATCATTTTGCTGGCATTTCCAGGGCTCTTTTCCGTGCTGTCTGGGTTCGCAGAGTTTTGTCCTGGTGTCATCCTACTTTCTGGTAGGGAATGCAGTTGCTCTGTTGCAGCAGCTCTTAAGTGAAGCAAGTTTCCATAATATTGGCTCTAAAGCACAGGGAAGCTGTAACTCCAGTTACCTTTGAGCTCATGCTGAACAAGCAGAGTTACATTGCAGGCAGGGTTTGTCTTCCCTCTGCATATCCCCATCGTGTGCTATGCCTGCTAAAGCCCAGAGAACCTGGCTGCCTGTGGTCCAGTGTTGGAATTGGGGCTGTGGTAATGGTCCAGCCCT